ATCAATATTTCCAGTCACGGGAGTCAGTGAGTTTCACCCACGTTATCTTTTAATACGCTGTCCATTGCTCTTCTGTTGCCGACATGTGTGATGCACTGTTTATGTTCGTGTCTCAGATTAGTTAACTCATGCATTCAACAGATTCCGAAAAGGAAAACAAAATAGTAGCAGAAATATATGAATATTGCATCTATATGAAATGTAATAGGAGTAAAACTCGAGTCTATAGTGCTCAACAGTATATGGTTGAATGGATTATTCCATTAATGTGCTTGAAGGCGAAAAATGAAGGAAGGTCAGTTCAAATCAAAATACGAACTTCTGTAAAACATTTGGATTTATTCGAATATCCTAAACACGTTAGGCCGTATCCCCATTTTTGTTAGATGAGGATTCGTCTGGTTTGTTACGTCATTTTTGTTTGCAGTAATACACTGCGAGAGATCGATTTCAACCATTGGAATGCTTCAGTAGTCTACAACGGAACGTTAATCTCGTTCAAATGAAATACAACACAACATTATTTGAAGTTTTATAATTTAAAAATCCCTGATTTGGTCCTGCGGCGCGGATCGATCAATCTTGTCTCACATTTGTTTTACCCGCAATCTTTCAGGTTCAAAACAACCGACAATTATCAAGAGCACTAAGTACGGACCGTTTGTTTACATCGTAATCAAAAAGGAGCGACCTGCGCTGAGCCCCTCGTACGAAGCCTTTTTGTTCGAAAATGATCGGGTATCGGCCCGTGGGAAATGGTACGGTTACTATGGCCGGATTGAAGTTTCCTCTTGTGACAACTGTGTACTGTATGTGCGTGAGTTACTTTCAGACGGAACATATTCGGCATTCAGTACGGAAAACCGGGTCACGGTGCCAGCGAGTAAGTTGACCACGGTGAGCTTGAATGAAATACCCTCGATTTGTCTGCCTTATCCCGAATCGCTTAAATCCACAGTCATGGAATTGTCCTGCTTTCGATTGCAACTTTGTTGCCCTCCTAGTCCAAGATTTTGGTTCCACCATCATACACGGTTCTCATTCCATCAGCAAACATTGAGTTGGCATCTGAGTGATTGCAATCGGGCGGATCATAGTCGACTCAAATTGTCTTATTCTTCACGTGCAGTGGGTTGCAACCCACAAAGTAGATCCTTCCATCTGAAATAAGTTTATTAGGAGTCAAGATGAACAGGTCAATTACTACTGTATGTCCCACTGGTGAGAATCATGTTACGCCTAAAAACATTCCTTAGGAGTCGGACAGGTTCATCCATTTTAGTACATTCACAGGTGCCCTCGCGTGAAATGAGCACTTCCGAGGAGGACTTTCTGATGCACCCTCACAGACTCCCGGGCTTGAGAAAGGCATGGTATTCATTTCCCGGCAGTCGCTCCACTCGAAACCCGTTTCACATTTGTTTTTCGATGAATCAGTTGATTTTGCACGGTGATGATGATAATTCTTCCGTATCTGATGACCACGGCTTCGTGGGCTAGTCGTATACAGAGATTCTCTGTCTGTGTGTGCTTCCCTAAACACGTTGGTGAAAATGACAAATGAGGCAGCCGAAACCGTTTACTCATGTTCACTGATTTCCTTTTCCAGACCATTTATCAGACCCGTATTTCAAGGTGGATCCACATCCCTCGGGATTTGTGCTCGAATGGAAATCGTCACAACAAATCACCATAATCTACACAAACGATTTGACTCTAGAAAAAACAATCTCTGCAGCATCGAACGAGGAGAAGGAGAATAAACTGTATCATGATGAACGCAGATCACGTTGATTAGTTCGGACTGCAAATACCGTTTCCGTGGTCTACGAAATGTAGATCATCACATTGATATTGAGATCGTTGAGATATTTGTTTTACCTTAAAGTCTCTGAAAACCCGACCAATTCGGTGATTTAAGTCGCCTATCCTACGGTGTGTTGTGTGAAGGGGTTTCTGTTACTGCTAATCCTTCTGTCCAAAGTGGAGCGCTTTTTAAATCAAGTCTCTCTTTGAATCTACGATAGGGAACCATGGTCTGACGTCATGGAATAAGCATATCTTTCACGGCATGTCATGAAAGTGCCTCATTGATTACACCTACTACTTCGAAACTCAAATTATACCACTTGTTTAATTATATCTCCTAAAGCTACTAAAGTTGTATATCCTGATTCTCAGGGGACGCTCGTGAAGACCTTTTGTTATTATTTACAAGTTTGAGTGATTTGGTGATCTATGCATTATGCTCAGTACGATTAGCTTCCCGAGAATTTCTCTTGC